TGAGACTCCGTCTCAAAAAAAAAAGTTTATTTGATTATAAAACTAGCATATAGTCATCAGAGAGTACAGGAAAGAACAGCGAGGCATGAAAATTACATGAATTAAAACCACTTACAACGCTGTCATCCGGGGTAACCAGTGTTTATGTTTTGTTGAGTTTCCTAGGCGTGTGGGGGAGGAAGTTCTTTCATTGCACCTTTAGTGTAAAGGACACCTTTACTTTACACAGAGAATGCTGGGTTCTTAGCCTTCCTCCCTCTGACAGTACCAGCTGTCCACCCCTGGGGACTGGGCAGCCCATCAGCGCCATGCTTGAACTCAGAGCTGGGAGGGGAGGTCAACCTGGAAAGGGGACCCTGCTCCCAGGAGGGAGCTCCTAGTGCAGTGTGGGAGCAAGCAGTGCGGCAAGGCTGGGACCGAAGCTCACAGGACAGCCCTTCCCGGAGCAGAGGTCTGGCAGGGGGCCAGGCGGTTTCCGTCCAGACTTCTCATGGCGGGGACCTCACTGCTCAGCCGTCATGTTAGCCCGCTCTGAGTCCCTGGGTGAGTGAGCTTGAGGGATAGGTTTTTACCTTGTAGTTTCTAGCACTTGGTCCCTGTTCTGCCCCCCAGAGCCTCATGGAGTAAGCCCAGACACTGTAAACCTGGCCATCCTCTCACACTTAAAACTGCATTCATCTGCGTTCCTTGCCAAATCCCTCTCAGGCCAGGCACCTCTAGTTCTCACCCAGTTCCTGTGGGGAATATGATTTCCACATGCCTGGATGCTGGTGCAGCCAGAGAGAGGTGAAGCCTGTAGCCAGGCTTTGTGGAGCAGGTGAGACTGGAATGGCGTTTGGAGGGCATGGTGAAGGCAGTGACATAGGGAAGCTCATTCCAGGCCAGAGAATGGTGCAGGAATGGCCGTTCATCTGTGGCAGGTGTAGGTACAGGCGTGTGTGAGCAGGGGCTTACCCTGAGCCGGGGAGAAATCCCAGCCCCTGGGCTCCCCCAGCCCTATGCCCTTATCTAGCCATTCCTGCCCTCCCAGAGCTCTGGGACTGGGGACAGAGCCCTCATGCTGTACACATGTGGAGAGCCTGCCACCAATTGGGTCCTGACCGACTCGTGCAGGATCTTCTTGTCACCATGGCTGGAGGCAGCTGCTGATTTGGGACGCATCCCTCGTCCAGCATCTCATGGTGTGCAACCAGAAACAGAACCCTCCTGTTTGGCAAGAGCATGGGTCTTGGACAGCAGCGACCACCTGTGTGAGCCACTGGTGTGAGGTTAAATGGAATAGAGCATTGGGAGCACCCAGCGCAGAGCCTAGAGCCCAGGCCTGGTTCTGGAAAGGGCATAGTGGGAGTCATGTCATTCCCTTTGAAGTGCAGGCTGGGCAGGGGCCTGCTTCTCTGCTAGGCCCAGCCTTGCATTCTTGGGAGCAGGTGCTGACTGCCTCCAGGGCTCCAGCCTCCTTTCCCAGCCCTTTCAATGCGCAGAGGCTCTCTTCCTTACCCTCACCCCTGTTCTTCCCACATCCTCAAAGCTGAGGGAGTCTGCTTATTCTGGAGGTGAGGAGCAGTCAGGGAGAACTGCCTATACATCAGCAGAGAACTGGACAAGAGTGCCTAGCCTTGCCCCTGGGTCAGGCCTGCTGGTGCCTTCTACACCAACCTTGTGCCTGAGTGCCAGGTTTCCAGCTAAATGCTCAACACATTTCTTCACCAAAAAGAGAGCTGAAATGAGTGACTGTGGGGTTCTGTCTTGTCCATTCTGATAATGATGACAATGATGACAACAGCATCCAACACCTGTAGAACGTTCATTACCCACCAGGCACTGTTTCTTATGTTAACTTAATTTTTCTTTGCAATGATCTTGAAGGGATATATTTAACAATATAAGAAAAATGAGTTGCAGATGAACTTTGAGTCACCAAGGGCTCTGTTTACAAGCATGCCTCCCCACCATCCTGTCCTTAAAATAGTGATTCCAAGTCAGTTTTCATTAGTGATCCATGAGTGATGGCCAGCATGCAGCACATAGTTTCATGTGGACATTTCTCTCTCTGGCTTATGACCACTGCACGGGGTGGATGCATCATGCACCACATGTGTTGACTGATGAGTGAAATGTATTTGTTGCTTTCCAGGGGACAGAGGAGAGGCTGGAGGGAGGGCAGCAGCTGTCCCGCCACCAGGAGAGCTGTTCTGGTGCCAGCCTCCCCATCCTGGGGGTTCCCTGCTACAGTCTTCAGCTCCCCTTTGTCCCCCAGAGGCCAAAACAGCGGTGCACAGTCAGGAGAGGCAAGGCATGTGGCTGGGCTGGAGGGCTGATGGTGCAGGAACAGTCAGCCTTGGGCCCTCCAGCCTGGCTCTGTCTGTCCCGCCAACTCCCGGCTTTTTATAAAGAGGCTGTGTTAGGTGAGCCTGGAGTGAGCTGTGCATGGACCTCATCTGACTGTGGCGTGCTGACCCTTCGCAGAGGTGGTCTAAGGAGACGGGGACCCTGGGCCGACCTGGGTTTGAATCTCCCCAGCAGCTGACTGGCCCTGCCCACGGCCCACATCAAGTAACGGGAGAAATTGATCAGGGTAACTGAAAAAGGAGCCCAACTCAGCTCTGTTAAACTTTTCTCTAGCGCTTTCTTCCCTCTCAAGCCTTTGCCGCCACATACCTGAGATTGTCCCTGTACCACCCCAAAGGCATGTGGCCTTTGCAAGCTGGTAGAGGGAGGGCAGCACGGGGGCCTGTGTTAGTTTCATGGAATCACCAATGGGGTTTCCTTTTTTTTTTTTTTTTTGGTGGCACAGGGGTCCTGTGCAGGTGTGGGCAGCGTGACAGAGTCCCTGAGGCCAAGGCCATAGGCCTGGTGCCTCGCGTGCGCTGTGATGGGAGGTGTTGGGTTCCTGCGGGAGGCGAGTGGGTTGCAAGTAGTTAATGCCGGGCTGCAGTGAGAGTCGCCTCCAGTGTAATTGCTGATTTTGGGAGTGCCTTGGCTAGGGCTGGGAGGGATGGAAGCGGTTAAATGTGGCCTCATTGGCTGATTGGCATTTCTTGAGTTGGATACTAATTCCTTCAGGAGGTCAGAGAAGCTCCCCAGCGGCACCCCTGATCTTGACTTTGGAGGCCAGGTTCAGTCTTTCAGAGGGACTACAGAAAAACCCCTAAGTTATGACTATTCCGCGTTGCTTAAAAGACAGCCCCCTGAGTGGCTGGGATGACAGGCATGCATCACCACGCCTGGCTAATTTTTGTGTTTTCAGTAGAGACGGGGTTTCACCATGTTGGCCAGGCTGGTCTCAAACTCCTGACCTCACGTGATCTGTCCTCCTCATCCTCCCAAAGTGCTGGCATTACAGGGGTGAGCCACACCACACCTGGCCTGTTGAATAAACAAGAGCAAGAACAAATTTATTGTTCAGATCTCATACGAAAACGCACAGTGTTTCTTTTTGCTGTTCTCAATCTGTTTCTGTTGTGTTCATTGAACTTTGTTCTTAGCTCCTCTTGCCAGCTCACACCTTGACATAGGTGCCCTCCTGACCCCTCTGTTCATCTTTCTAACACGACCTTGTTTCCTGCCGCCAGGTCTTGGTAGTGGGAGTACTTATCTTTATCATGAAGAGTTGGAGGAGTGGAGGGAGGGCCTGTTGGGATCTACTTTGATTTTATTTATTTTTTTGAGACAGAGTCTCACTCTGCCACCCAGGCTGGAGTGCATTGGCGCAATCATGGCTCATTGCAACCTCAACCTCCCAGGTTTAAGTGATCCTTCCACCTCAGCCTCTCATGTAGCTGGGACTACAGGCACGTGTCACCACACCCAGTAAATTAAAAAAAAAAAAATTTCTTTTTAGAGATGGGGTCTCACTATGTTGCCCAGCCTGGTTTCAAATACCTGAACTCAAGTGATCCTCCTGCCTCAGCCTCCTAAAGTGCTGAGATTATAGGTGTGAGCCACCGTGCCCAGCCAGAGATCTGCTTTAAAGCTGCCCACCCTGAGCCTACCCCAGCCTACACTTGACCAAAGGCCTCACATGACTCTGTTCACTCTACATATGGGAAGTGCCTGAACTCAGAAGTAATTGATTCTGATTTAAAGCCAGGTTGGGGTATAATTAGCAGTTGTGATTTAATGTCGTTGTGGCCTGAAACTTTGCCATCTTCTCTCTCTCTGTTTGTGTGTATTTAAAGCAAGACTGTTTACAAGCATGCCTCCTCGCCATCCTGTCCTTAAAATAGTGATTCCAAGTCGGTTTTCATTAGTGATCCATGAGTGATGGCCAACATGCAGCACACAGTTTCATGTGGACATTTCTGTCTCTGGTTTATGACCACCAGCTCCCAAGGTAGGGTGGGGAATTGGCACCAGACCTTGACCCCGGGGTCCCTGAGCAAGTCACATCTCTGAGCCTTGGTTTCCTGCACCAGGGAATTTGGATCATGATGTCATCTCACAAGGGGATGTGAGGGGCAAGTAACAGCACTTCTCAGGCCCAGCTCACATAGCACTTGGTGGACATCATTTCTTTCCTGCGCTCTTCCCTGAGAGAAGTGGGGCCACTCTCATGGAGGCAGAGGTGCCTGGTTCCAGCTCCTAGCTCTGTGGGCAAGTCACTTAGAGAGGCCTCAGCCTGCTCACCTGTAAAATAAACTAATAGCAGTTGTCTTACGTATCTCATACAGCTAGAGGGAGGACTAAATAGAAGGGCAGTCATAGGCTCTTAGGGCTGGAAAGGGCTTTGGATATTATTAGTTTCAACTTTTTGTTTTATAGATGGAAAAACCGAGGCTGAAAGGAGTGAATGATGCCCAGGATGACGCGTCCCGTTAGCAGCATGTGGTCAGGGTGCTGTGCTGTTTGGCCTCATGACACTGCTTCATCTAAAGGCCTACTTGTCTGTGAACTCATAAGCATATGCAGAGAGGCTCACCTCTCTGTGTGTGGCAGTGGATGGACAGATGGCCCTTCTCCTGCCATCTGCTCTGGCCTGTACAAGCCGGGCTGAAGGAGGTCATGTATCATCGCACCAAGGTGGGGAGGCACTTCTGTTGCTGGGCTGAAAACATGTCTTGCTTGCTGCTTCCCTCCTGCGTGGCTCACACAGCCCATATCTGGCTGTTTATGAACGAGATTCCCTCTGTGCCCAGCATCGTGCTTGATGCTAGGACACTGCACAGAGAAGTCTGAACAGAGGCTCCTGTCCTCGTGCAGCCATTTGTAGCCCGAATAGGCGCCCGCAAGAGGTCAGTGCTCACAGGGCGGGAGAAGGCTCTAAGGCTGATGAGGGTACAGCCACTGCGGAGCAATAGGGGGTGGGCAGGTCCAGAGGAGGAGGTGGAGCTTCAGCTGGCCTTGAAGGCCCCGGATTGGATTGAGAACAGGGCAGAGAAGACAAGGAAGGCTTTCTGGGTGAGAAGGCGTGCTGTGAGCAGGGTCTGGAGGCAGAGGTGCGGAAGGCGCATTTGTGGAAGGCAGAGGTGTGGAGGCAGAGGTCATGCTGAAGAGCGAGGAGACTCCGGGGGGAAGAGCATTTTGATTTGCGGGGAGGTTTTAAAGTGTTAGTCATTGGGCAGGCAGTGTCTGAGTGACTTAGCTCGTCTAACACAGTGATTGGGGTCATTATTTTGGCTCAGAGCATTGCTGAAAGCCTGGCTTACCTGTCACTGTGACCCTTGGCTTACCCACCTCAAGGATGTAATGGGGCCAGAAGGAGGCAGGTGACCTTCCGAGTCTCTCCTTCTCTTAGAAGCCTGGGTCGAATGGCGCACAGGAAACTCAGGGAAGTGGGTGGGAACCCAGTCTTGCTTTAGATTCGCATTGGCCCCTTCTGTGTTGCAGAGTGACTTCCCATCTCAGTCACTATCTTAATTTATTGATGAAAACTTGTTTCACAGTCCAGAGCACAGATGGCAGCAGCTCCCTGCCAAAAGAAAACATGCTGCAAATTGGAAAAGCAGGCTGCCTCCCGGGAGGATGGTGGAGGGAGGAGAGCCTGTCTAGCCAGACGCTGCTGCTGGTCCTGGGCGGATGGGGCTCCGGGAGGCCAGCAGAGTGGCCCCCTCGTGGGCGGGCTGGGGCTGGAGCAGCTGGGGCAGTGGCAGGACGTCCTCACCTCTCTCCACTACCAGCTCCTGACTCATGGCTGCCCTGCTTCAGCCTGGTCTCCTTAGCCTGGGGCATTTAGCCTGGGGCTGCAGGCACCATCCACAGCAGCACAGCACCAAGGAGAAAGGACAGGGAAGGGGCTCTGCGTGCTGGGAGCAGGCATGACTGTACTACGAGGAGCTCCGTGACCTTGGACATGTTTCTCTGGGGAAACTGGACAGGCAGCTTTCAGCAGAGGAACCTGAATTGTTCCATGCATAGCTTCAAATATTTAAAGGCCTGTTTTACTTGTTCTTGGTAGATTTCTTGAGCAAAACTAGGAGGATGTGTGTTAGCCACAGGGAAGTAGATTCTTGAGTTAATAAGAAAGAATTCATGACTAAAGTTAAGCAAAAAAAAAAAAAAAAGAAAGAAAGAAAAAAAGAAACGGAATAAGTTGTTGGAGGGTGAACACTCAGATCCTGGGGGACTCAGTGTGGCCGCCTCCCCCTCTGTGGTTCTAGGGAGCTGTGGCCCTTCTGCCTACTGGGTAACTTTGACCAAGGTGTCTCTGCCCCTCCATGTCCCTCCATGCGGAAGTGGAAGCACCTGCCGGTTCTCCCTCCTCCCTGGCCCCCGCCTCTACGGCTGTGAGAATGACGGAGCTGCGGAGTCCCTGGAGGCAAGGGGTGCTGAAATACAAAGCAGGGGCACTCCTGAAACTGACATGTTGTCCCTGCTCCCTGAGACGAAGTTCTTGGCAGGTTTTCTTCTCCCAGGGCCGGGCAGGTTCATTACTAGCAGGCATGTCAGGCTGTGAAATTAAAGCCTTAAAAAAAAAAAGTCTTCCCATCTACTAATTTATTAAATGTTATTAAATGTTGAGCCTGGCCCTAGCTCACAGAAAGCATCGGGGAGTACTGAGCCCTAGCATTTGAAAATCTCCTGGAAGCAAAGAGGGGATGAGGGTGGCAGAGGGGCCGAGGGGTCGGGGTGGGGGCCACCAGGGATACCAGACTGGGTGTCTCTGCAGAGAGGCATGAGGCAGTGGGGATTAAAGTAGCCAGGGGATGTGATGGGCTATGATGGGGGCTGGGGCAGGTAGGACAGGCGACCTACCCCAGGTCAGTGAGGAGCCAAGGGTGGCTGAAAGGGGAGTAATTTGGGGGCCCTGGGGTTTCTGGGAGTGGGGAAGGTAGGGTGCACAGAGGGCTTTCTCTGGGTTTGTGGGTCTGGGTGTGGCCCTGTTCCTGGGCTGTGGTCTGCTCAGGAACCCCCACCTGTCCCCATCATTCATTTATTCATTCCTCAAGCAAATATTTATCTGGTATTCCAGACATGTTCTAGACCTTACAGTGGGGGGGGGGGAAATGGGTAAGATATGAACCCAGGTCTTGGAAATGCTCTTGTTTTTAGAGAAGGTGGGCAGCGAGTCTACACAGAAGCCTAGGAGGGTTCCTAATGTGCTGCTCTGGGCCCAGCCCCAGCACAAGAGGTCACCCCTGGGGAGGGGCCACCCCTACACCAATCGGAGACTGGTGGCAGCTATGAACGGCTATGGGCAGTGGTTGTCCATGGGTCCTAAGCAGCGTGCAAGTGAGGGTAGAAGCTCAGGAGGGAGGGTAGCTTGAGGGGAAATTGTGGGCCCCACCCCCAGAGAGATGGGATGTCTGCATGACATATACATATGGCAGAAACATATATTAAAACTACAAGTCAGTATGGTTCAACCAAAAGAAGAAAATAATGCCATAGGGATATTGAGCTAATTAAAAGAATTAATAAATGAGGAGTCTGAAGCGTGGGCTCACTATACAGTCATGGCCTGACTGGCCTCAGTTTACCTGCTGTGCATGTGTTGAATGGGCCTGTGGTGATGAGGGAGACCTGAGATGCCCGTTGGCTCAGGACTCCTCTCTACGCCAGGGGTTTGCACTTTCTCCCTCCTGCAGAGTCAGGGCAGGGTCCAGACAGGATCACCCTAGGAGGAGGACCCAAAGGATTTGCCAAGGGTGAGGCCCCAGTCTGGGGATTTAACCACAAGCACAACAGACCCAAATCCTGGCCCTTGAGGAGGCCATTGGCAAATCTTCTCAATTTCATCTTCTCAAATTTCAACGTGGGTTTATTTGGAGCCCTGAATTAAAGTTAGTTTGAAATGCCCTCAGCTGGTGAAGGTGGCAGGGGAGGCTTGATACTCAGGTTGGCCCCTAGGCCTGCCCCTGCTTGTAGAAGGGCACTGATCAGGCCCGGACCACACTGGGATGGTTGGCGACTTCTGGCTGGTTGGTGCTGACATTGGCTGGGGCCTGATCCTCTGAGTCACCCTGCCTCACCCTAGATTCTCCTGCTGTGGACTAGATGATAGCTTTGGCCATGTCCACTGAGACAACTCTGTGGTTTTGAAAGGGAATTTTCCCGAATGCCACCAGCTAAGCTCTCTGGCTCTGAGCTTTGGCTGTGCTACCACAGGCCTTGCCTCCTTCCTGCACTGGGCGTCCTCCTGCCCTGTTCCTCCCTCTCCCTTCCCGCCACACCCAGGGTGACCTCTGCTCACCATCTTCTCCATTCCAGGGACGTTTTCCCACCACACCAGTGGCTATCCCCACACGCACTAGGAGCCCTGTGACACCCCGACTTGTGGGGCGGAGGTCAGACCCAGAGTGCTGAAGCTCCTGTCGAAGGCCCTTCCGTGTATCTTTCAGATCCTGGGCATGGCCTTCTCCATAACCATTGCCCAGCACATCCATGGGACTGGTAAGAAGTAGGATGTGTATGTGGGCTGGCCGGAGTGTCCCCACAAGCCACTCCCCACTCTCCACTCCCCACTCCTCTGCTGGATACTCTGTGGAGGGAGAGGATTTGAGGTTTGTGTCGCTGGCCTACACTCTCCAGATATGACCCCTGCGCCCACCCACCCCTGCCTCAGCCTCAGCCTTCTCAGTGGTGGAGAGGCGGGGAGGCGGTGTCAGCACATGGAGACCTGGGGCATGGGGCACCTGGATGCCTGCATCTGTGTGTGCATATTTGCCAGAGATGATGAAGTGGGCGGGGGGTGTGCTCTGGAGGAACCACCCCCACTGATGGGTGTCTGTCCCCTGCCTTTCCTCACCCTGACACTTTGTCCCCCCATGGGGCAGGGAGCACAGTGCTTCCACCTGCGGAGAGACTATCCCCATGGAGGCTGCTGCCATCCGTGGCCGCCGTGGGGGAGTTGGCGGGGCGGCGTCTGCCTGCCACCGGGCAAGATCCCTGGGGCACCTCACCAGGCTTTTTATACCTTACAGTGTAATTTGTTAACTTTACTTTATTGTGATTAATTGTTCAGGAATACTACCTCTGAGGTAAGTTAAGGGTTAGCTTTCTGATTGATAACTTTTTACTGTGTTGATTTCTTTAATGGCTTAATTTATTTTTTCCCTAAGTGTGGGGGATGGGTGGGAATACAGGACCCCCGTTCAGTCTCAGTCAGGCCAAATCACTGTGCAACCCCCACAAGGCTCTCTGATGAGACTCACCAGCCTATGCTCAGAATGCATGGAGAGGACCCAGGGGTCCTGCCAGGCCTGGCATCTGCAGACAGGAGCCTGGGAGAGGCAGGTGGAGAGAGGAGTGGGAAGGAGGCTGGAGGCAACTAATCACAGGGTGATGGTGTTTGCTAACACAGCTCAGATGCCACAGCAGTGGGGGTCCCCTGGGGGCTGGTGAAGCACTTTGCCAGAAACGTAGCAGAGCTGGCAGGGTCCCTGTGCTTTTCACTGAGGAGCAGTTGTTGGGTTTTTCCTTCTTCCTTCCTCCTGCCCTCCACTGGCATGGGAGGCCGCCCCTTCCACCACATGCGGGCTTTCTCGAGACAGGCTCTGCACACCTTTCAAATTTCTCTCTAGTGTGGATGCTACTCACTTTCTCCCCTTGCTTCTGGGTGGGGAAACTGTTCTTAAGTTTTACTACTCAGACAGCGACAGAGGACCCATCATGAGGGCAAGTAGGAGTGGCGCCCCTGATTGTTCCTGCCAGCTTCACCCAGCCACAGGTTGCCTTGCTGGGAGGGAGGGAAAGACGTCCAGTTTGGTCCTAGGATCCCTATCTCCTTCCCAGGGCTCATTGACATCAGCAGTGGGTGGGTGACAATCACATCCTCTATGATCTCAAAGAGAAG